AGTACAAAATTTGGTACACTAATGTGGTGTCTCAGGACCTACAAAAAAGTCTCTTGGAGCCAAGTGCAATGTCGCACAGGAAGTCGGCCATTTTGGTCCAAGTGCGCGATTTAGTGGTTTTCGCACACGTTGTTTGGAGAGTGATGCTCCGTCGCCCTTTTCACCAATTGCCTTCACACTTCTGCTATATACTCTTAAGACATAGATGAAAAAATTCAGCCGTGGGATTTTAAATAAGTATAAAGGTGTGGGCGTGGCTAAGCCTCAAACTTTGACCTGTCGCCACGCCACTCTTTTTTTCACAGCTCCCTATTGGACTCCTTTTAACCAATCACCACCAAACAGTGGCAAATAGCAGCAGACAAGTTGAGGTCACTTAGTCTATAGTACTGGCAGGTTTCGAATAAAGGCGGGGCTTTGGGAGCATGGCAAAATTCGCCATCATGACATGGAAATACGTTTGTCTCTCATTTCTTCAATCATTGTGACATCGCCACACAAGTTCTGATGAGTGATCCTACTCTGACCCCTAATAGAATTGGACAGCTGAAGTTTGTGGGCGTGGCCTATTTTCTGAAACAGCGCCCCCTAGGACCATTAAAACAGTCAGCCCCAAGCCATGCTTTGACTGAGGTTCACAAAATTTGGCACACTAATGTAGTGTCTCAGGACCTACAAAAAAGTCTCTTGGAGCCAAGTACAATGTCGCACAGGAGGTCGGCCATTTTGGTCCAAGTACTCAATTTAGTGGTTTTCGCACACGTTATTAGGAGAATGATATCTCCTCGCCCTTTCCACCGATCACCTTCAAACTTCTGCTATATACTCTTAAGACATAGAGGAAAAAATTCAACCGTCGGATTTTAAATAAGTATAAAGGCGTGGGCGTGGCTAAGCCTCAAACTTTGACCAGTCGCCATTACCTTATTTGACTTAACAACTCCCATGTGCATGATCAGATCAATTTCATACTTTGTCTGTGTGATCACTGACCACATCTGAAGACAGTGACAATGTGGACAGCTGACATCACCTAAGCCCCGCCCCCTGACTACAGGAAGTCTATATTTTTATGGTGAAATGCCCATATTTGTCCCCTCTAATTTAGTCAACATGACACTAAGGTCATGCACTGTCTTCATGATGTTGTAATGACCATTCAGATCTGATAGCTTTCCAGATAGGGAGGGACTTTGATGCCATGGCGAATTCTGGCATGACGCCATGACCTTATGTTTGACTGTAACTTCCACAAACAGCCTCCGATCTGCCTGAGACTGAACATGGCAATGAACAATCATGCCCTTTAGTCAACGAGGCACAAAGGGTTGGAGAACGTTGTATAATATCACCACAGCGCCCCCTACATACCTTTAAAACTGTAATAACTCCTACAGAAGAGGTCGTAACTGCATCAAACTTGCTATGTGTCACAAAGGAACCCAACACAATCATGTGGTAATTGGTATATATAGCTTTAGCTCCGCCCCTAACAGATATTAGGCCCTGAATAACACATGCATGATGCAATTCACACCAAACTGCACACAAATGACTGTTATCAACCTACAAACTTCTTCATGAAATATTCCCTATATTTGGAACAGCACCCCTTAGATACAATAAAACATTTGTAACTTCTGCAAAAAAGCTCCAAACTATATTAAACGTGATGGGAGTCATCACACAACTGCAATCAACACATGTATGTGCTCACTTGTTCAAATCACTTTAACTCTGCCCACTTAGAGCCTTTTGTCTCTAGATGACACATGCAACATTTGATTGATGCTAAATTAACAGGAAACCATCTTTGATGAGCAAAGATTACCTCTATGGGATTTACAGTAGTTGTAAATGGTCACAGCACCCCTAGATAGGTTCAAACTTTATTAACTTCTGAAGACAAAGTCAGAATGGCAATATACTTGGCTTGTGACATCACGTGATTGCACCAAACACATTGATGTGGTTGTTGGTTTTAATCCCTGTAGCTCCGCCCCTTTCAGCTCATTGGTTCTAGAAAGAACACACAATGTCTGATTGATGTCAAAATAACAGAAAACCATCTTTGTCAACCAAAGCTGACCTCAATGGGATTTTTCTGTGGTTGGTCACAACGCCCTCTAGATAAATTTAACCTACAATAACTTCAAAAAACGTGGTCAGAAAAGCATTAAAGTTTGTCTCTGTCATCACACCACCAGTGTGGTAAAGATAGAGTATGCCCTAGTGGTGAGACGTTTCTGAGTGCTGTGCGAATGCAATGTGAAAATGTTCTTACTGGAAGGATGGTTCTAGGAACTTATGCAGTTGGTAAGCGCCTATAAATGCAGCGTCTAACTGAACTATGTGAAAATTGTTAAAGCATGTGATCCATTTTCTCTACAGTGCCACCTACACACTTTTAAAAGTGTAATAATTTCTACAGACAATTGGCTCTAGATAAATAATGCAGTGTGATTTACACCAATTTACACCACATTGATTTTAATTCTCTCAAGAACAGCTCAAAGAGATTTTACGTGAATTAAAGACAGCAACATCTAGATGAATTAAAACTTGAACAACATCAACAAATAAAGTCACAAACATTCCAAACTTGTTGTATTTTATTACACAACACTGGTAAATGTTTTTAGTAGCTCAGCAAATTAAATCACTTTAGCACCATTTCCTTAAACATTGTTTGCTTTGTATGATATATGCATGATTTGATTGTTTTTACAATTTTCAACTAATATCAACATCCCATTATAATAAATCCAAACTTTTTTGATAAATTGTCTTTTTTTCCCCCAGAATTTAAAAAAACTGAAACAGAATGGTGGCTTAGCAAAAATGACAAATAGTCTCTTACAGTAGAAATTTAGAGGAGAGAAAACAACAATTAGTGACTTTGATCTCTGACATAAGTTAGATTTAAATTTTATGTTCTGATTTTTTTTCCCTCAGACATGTCTGAAGAAATAATAAAGGATTTAATTAGATTTTTTCAACTGTTAAATGCTATTCAAAAGGGTTTGGCTATGAAACAACACAAGTACCTTGTCTGTGTTAGAAGCTTATTATTGGGCTTCTTTAGCACCAGCCTGTCTGATTACTGAAGAACCTTAGCAAGTTTAACCCTTCAGCCTTTCTTGTAACAGCATTTCTCCACTGCGCTCATCTCCCATGAGTCCTGGATCACTCTGACGTTACCATTTGGTATGAAGGTTCGTGAGTGGCCAGACCTGCGTCAAAGTCCCACCTTCTAGTTTGATTGACAGCTGCTGTTTTCGCCTCACAATCAGTTTATGCAAGATTCAAAGACCTGTGAAAAATAATGTAAATTCAGGTCTGTCCCACAGAAAGAAACGTGGTTCCTAATGGCAGCATGTCAGCCACTCAGGAAGGCTCAGAGTAGAGGCTGGAAAGGTGAGCACGATCAAACCATTTTTGAGACAGGGGAGATTTGCTATATTGTTTGTAAAACAATGTTTTGTCCTATTGTTTTTAGATATTAGTAATGTGTTTAAAAATCACCATAAATTGTAAAAATAAATAAATAAATGTTAAACTTTAGGGGTGCTAGAGATTAATTTACGGGTGCTTCAGTACTCACAAAAGCAGGCTAGAAATGCCCATGAGTGTGATCTTATCAGTTGTCCTTGAAATCAAAATGTGTGTTTAGTTCTAGGGTGAATTGCAGCAAGTAAGATTTTAAACTTAAATTTGATTGTTTTTCGCCTTTTTGAATAATAGTTTTTTTCACTGATCAACACAATTAGCAGGGCAACACAGGGATTTGAACCCTGTCCCACAAGTGGGAGACCAGACCATTGCCTTTGCTTTTTTGTGCATTTTACCAGGTAAAGCAAACCCTGCATTAAAACAGCATGGAATTCACCAGTTTAATTTTTAACATTATGCATAATTTGGTGTTTAATTGTTACATCACTCAATAGTGATGAATGAGAAGCCAATTGTACTAAAGGTTTTCAGTTTAATTTCAATAAATGCCACCTTAATGCAGGAAACGAAACCTTTAGAAAGCTTTTAAACACATTTAATTTTGATGTAAAAAAAGACATGTTTAAAAGCTTTCCAGTACATCCTAGACATTTTGCAACAAAGAAGATGAAATACACACACACACACACACACACAATCACACACACTTACAAACATTAAAACAATAAAATTAGTGTATTAATTGCTGATCAGGACAGATGTGTTTTTAGTTTTGATTAAAAAGTGGGTGAGAGATAAATGCAGAGGACAAGGGGAAAGAGCATTCTAGAGCTGAGAGAAGGTGGGAAATGGCTAAATGTTATTTTGACTAGGTCAGTAGGGGACATGAAAATTGAAGAAATCACAGAAATGGCGAAGCATACAGCAGCAGTTAGTGGTTTTTCCTACATAGGCGTGGTGCTGCACTACACCCGAAATTCTAGTGCCATGACAAATGCACGACACCAAAACGTTCCGCGCGTTACTACCCCCTTTGTTGCTCTCATGACAGCGAAATAGTTTGCCAATGTAACACTTCTCACCTATATGCATCAGAGAAATTTCAACACCCACAGTTTAAAAATCTTGCTACACTCCTGTGCGCACATTGTCCTGCAACCCCTGCTCTTACACATGGAACGCGGCAGTAAAGTTGTCCTGAGTGTGCAAAACCCCTCAACGGCATCGAAACATGTACACTGCTTAAAAACAATACATCCAATATATTTCATAAAGAAAAGTTCTGACAGACTATATGTATGATATATATATATAAGTTCTATTGTCATTGCATAGATGTACAACGAAATTGATTTTGCTCTCAGTAGAGATAGCTCATGTAAGGAAAGGTAAAATATTAGTAAAAGTAAAGCTAAAATTGAACGAACACACACACACACACACACACACACACACACACACACACACACACACACACACACACACACACACACACACACACACACACACACACACACACACACACACACACACACACACACACACACACACACACACACACACACACACCTCTTTACAAATTCTGCAGTTAGGTGTTGATCAAATCAAATCTGTTTTTTGAGGTGAACTAAAGCCGTGTAAAATCACACATGATGCCCTGATGATCACTAAAATATGTTGGAATAACAGATGCTTCTGTTATATACTTGTTGGATTTTACATAGACATGATCTATTAAAGTGCCTTTTTCGGTTGTTGGCTGTTTGACTATTTGGGCATAGCCTCTGTCAGTCAAAAGTTTTAATATTGTTGATGATTTTAAAATGTCATCATTAAAATCTCCCATTAGCACTAATGTCTCACTTTGTACCTCCAGCCAATCAAGCAACTTTGTTAAATTTACTTTAAACAAAGAAAGGGGATACAAAGGAGGTCGATAAATGAGTCCAAGTACTATGTGTAAGTTAACAAAGTTATACACTAAACTCTCCAAGTTGACGTCTGGAGCCTGCAACATTTTAAATGCCACACCATCTGCAGTATAAAAGCCAACACCACCATGTTGTTGTTCTTGAAAAGCAACCAATGACTCATGGGTACTAGAATAAGCTAAAGCTCGTGGGCAGTTGTAAAAACTATAGCCATCAATCTGTACTGCATCTGATCTGTCTGTAGATACCCATGTTTCTGTGACAGCAATGCAATTAGGTTGCAAATGCTGTGTGCAGAAAGCTAAGTCTTTAACGTGTCGATTCAGACTTTGGACATTCATTAAAAACACAGTGAATGCAGAAGAGTTAAATCTGTCGAACTGTGAGTTTGGAGTCAAAAAAGGTGTCATATTACTAACTGCAACTGTAATGTCATCTTTACAATAGATTCGTTTTTCATCAAAGTCCTGAATTGTGAGTCCTGAAAGACTTGTTACACGGCTAAGTGCTACATATGCTTGACCTGGTGCAAATATTTTTCTAAAACTAACAACGGCGTTTTCAAGAGTGAGTCCCTGAACTTTATGAACTGTAACCGCCCAAGCTAATTTAAGAGGAAATTGTCGACGTAATCCACCTTTAACAGTGGCCCTTTCCTCCTCGGGTTCAATAGGTGTAGATCCAGCTAAATTTGATGACAGAGACTGGGAGGTTTTCCTCCTCTGCAAGCCGACACGATGGTCATCAAACTGAACATAAACCTTTTTAGGAAAGGTGTCATTTTCTAACATTTTAATTTCCATCAAAGTACCACAAACTCCGTTTACTAAACCGTCAATGACATCCACATTTTTACACAACATTACACGCGCACCCTTACCCAACTGTAACACTTCTGACAAGTTAGTATTAGAAGCTCTGGCATGATTCCCTTCCAACAACTTCAGTTTGCCTGTTCTTTTATCATTAACATAATCTTTGGCTGTAATTGATATGTAATCAGGACAAACGTGACATAACTGATGGATGTTGTGATTATTTACTTGATTATTTGTTGCAAATATGTGCAATGCTGAGCTCGCCTCACCTGTTTCACAAGTTTTTAAAACCTTTAAATCCTCAGGTAACAATGGTGTACCTTTTGTATGAGTTCTGATTCTATTTAACAGTCCAGAAAACACAGCATCTTTCTGTCTAACAACTTCAGTTAACTGTACAACTTTAAATAGGCTTGACCATAAGTTGCTACCTACACCATCAGAATAGAGTGGCTTCCCTTTAACAGGAGGTAGCTGGAAGAAATCTCCAACGGCCACTACACTGACATTTCCAAAAGGTGAAAAGTCACCCGTTTGTTTAATCTGACGTAATCTACCATGAACATAGGACAACAGGTTATGATCGACCATTGATATTTCATCAATAATAAGAAGCTGCAGATCACAATATTTTGTACGTAAAGAATTTAGTTTTTCTTCACCCAGAGGAGTGTACGGTAAGCGCACATCCTTTCCTATAGACAGTGTAGTGTGGATTGTTGTTGCACCTAAATTATATGCTGCAATCCCAGTAGGAGCTGTCAATACTACACATGCATTGTCAGGATGTCTACAGCTTGGTGACAGTAATCTCTGTGTTTCATACTCTATTGCTCGAATTAAATGACTTTTCCCAACGCCCGCCCCGCCTGTAACAAAAACATGCAGTGGTTCAGGGTTATTACCATTAACTTTATCTACACACCACTGCCTGATTTGATTAAAAACAGAAAACTGTTTTTCATTTAAAGACCTAATCAATGCCAGACCTTCACCTCTACTCATCGTGTTTCTCTTCTCTAAATGTGCAGTTTGGTTTGAACATGGAGCCAAATCTGGGATTACTTCTGCCTCGTCACTTACTGTTGGTTCTGATTCTTTCAGTATTTCAACACACTCCAAACGTTCCATTTCAACTGCCGGACACAACTCACACCATGCATCTTCTAACATTACATCACCGACTAGATTATTCACAGCATCCAAATGATCAGATTCTAACTCAAATTTACTCCGATTTAAATCTACAACAGCCTTTACCGAGTGGTTTGTTCTATCAAAAAATCTAATTAAACCAGTTCTGTAAAATTCCTCAAAAGTTTCACAGTTAAGCTTAAGCTGACTATCATGGCGGTACGGTAAAAACAACTGCAACATGCTTTGAAAAAATTTCTCTGGGTCTTTGGTTTCAGAGAAACGCGCGTAACGAACAACCGCTGGTTTAGTCCGAGTTCTTTTTGTAACAAATCCTAAATCATTACTTAACTTTATAGGATTTCTACATTTTTCGTTTTTACTCAAAACACGATATTCTGATGCAAACGTAGCCAGGCACATATCATTGAACACATCATCATTTGGCCTCTTCTTATAACGATCAACTAATCCGGTCATCCACATGTCATCTGAAGTAAGATCCTGTGATGCTGCTTTTTGCCTCAAAACAGAAATAGGTAAACTCATTTTCACTATATTATCACCAGTGGGAACAAACACAACTTTCCTAGAACACTCCTTTAGATGCATGTTAGTTAGCCTGTAGACTGCTTCCTGCGTACAAACATCTCGATTATGAAGATAAACATTACCAAGACTCTTCAAGGCCTCTTTAGCACTAAGATTACCATCTTTGGCTGCTTCTCTTTGAGAATTAGCAAGCAGAAGGCCAATTTCCCGTTCACTTTTAGACATGTATGATATTATGTATACACAGCACGCATAAGCATCGACGCAATACTGGATATCAAGATTAGCATTCCAAGCTTTTAACAGCAACTTGCTATACTGATTAATCCAGATTTCATTAACTTCCCTTTTCAAAACAACATGTGTATTTCGACTAAATCGTTTATATGCCATTTCAAATAGTTCCTGACTGATACCTAGGCCCTGAAACAGACCTTCTACACTGTTATATGGACAGTCTTCACTAGAAATAGTAGTCTTCACTTTAGTTAAAATGGCACTTGCTACTTCTTTGTCCATTTCCTGTTTACGTGCTTTATCTTGAGACGCACAGGCACACTGTACAGTGCTATCTGTTTTATCACACTTGCAAGTCTTCACTGCATCTTGATACTTTTCACCGCGGCTAATAAAAGTTCTAACAGATGCGGGTCGTGGAAAATTAAAACGACAAACAGTTTTTTTCTTTCTACAAGTCTTTGAATGCCGTTTGGAGTGCTGCTGGACAGATGAGACGACTTCATGTAGTGAATTGTCTTCAGAAGGAAGTTCACATGTCACATATTCATCAACAAATGCAATGACCTCCTCATCTGTGTTCTTATCTAAAATGGGAGCACCAGAAACCCAGAAAAGGCAATGACAGTGAGGAGAACCACGCTGCTGGAACTCAACACGATAATAATAATCTTCTATTTTACCAATGGGATTGGCAGGAGACATCAGCACTTCCCTTAAGAAGACATGCCATCTAAAATCAAACATTCGCGCAGCAGTTACTGGATTCCTACGTAGGAGCTCACATTTATCAGCCCACTCCAGCTGTTCCACTGTCTCTGTTCTGCCTTCCTGTTTCAAAATACTATAAAGAAGGTTAGTCCACCTCAAATCTGCCGACGAAAATGATGCGAACCAAGTAGGTTTGCCCAACATTTTTACACAAGCCAGGAGGTCTCGCTGAGCAGATTGCCAAAAAGCAGGTGTGCCGCGAATTGGTTTAAGAAACCGGTAGCCATCATCAAACTCTAACAGCTTATTTAAAGAATCCTGATCCTGTATCAAATTACCCAACTTCTGAGATTCACCGCTTTTACCTTTACGCAAAGCTATAGAAACTTTGGACACAACTTGCTCTAGTTCAGACATGTACTGTGCAAAAAATATATATTCTACATTGTTAGCAAATCGACCATCGACATGAAGAAGCCTGTTGTTGAAATACCGATTCAGAGTCAAACGAAACTGTCTGCTTTCATAGTAAGTATTTGATCCTGAAGGAAACAAGACGGGAAAACATTTTGCTTCATTTGTAAAATCTGAAAGCAATTTCACTGGATTGTTACCTTCACCTGGAGCTACATTTAATATGTTATCTACATACTGGTCCAATGCTTCTTGTCCTATATCTACTGGCATGAGACAGGTGTCCTGAAACATACAGTGTTGTTGTCTGTCATGCAATAACTCATCTTCTCCATCTATGCAAGTATCTTCATCTTTACTAGAACCACTATCCTCTTCCAAGACAGACGGCTCATCTTCCTGAGTAAATGTGTTAATCCAAGACTCATTGAACTCTACATCTTTGTAATGCAAATTATGATGTTTTAAATACTGAAGAGCTTCCTGAACATGCTGTGTGTCAACATACTGATAATCATAGTGTCCTTTATATGTCAATTTACGCTTTAACTTTACAGGTAATAAAGACCCCTCCATGTTGGTACGTGGTAACAAACTGCACGTTTCCACTATATTTGCAGGTATACAAGTTATCGGGCCATGAATCCCATTCTGACCACCTTTAGGCAGAGCCAACATTTTCATAAATGGTATATTCATCGCTATTAAATGTTGCTCTAATGTATTTAAACATGCCAGTTGAGGTGGGATGGGATCAACAGTCAGCCTGTTGATTGAACTTTCTGGGGGTATCTGACATTTACCCATTTTATAATGGCACGTGTAACAGATGTACAGTTTATTTCTACATAAATTAAATTTGCAAGGTAATCTACAGGCATCATTGCATTTGTGCAGATGATTGTCACTTATACATTTATCTGCTATAAGTGACATTTCTTTGGTTTTTCTATAGTATTCTTGATTACAATTTAAGACCTGATGTCTAAACAACAAACGTGAGCAAACACAACACACAAAATCAGGTCCATCTTTCACCTTCTCTAAAAACTGATCTACAACAAAATCAAAGTTTTGTGAATTTACTTTAATCAGCATTCTTTTATGCTGGATACTTTCTATTAAACATGTCTTATGTTTAACATTACGGTATTTCTTTCCACTCAACTCTTTCATTTTGTCTCGATAAGCCAAATTATGATGGTACTTATACACACTCATCTGTTTAAGCTTTTCTTGATAAGCCAAATTATGATGGTAGTTGAAAATGGCCCTCCGTTTAACTTTATCTTTGTGAGCCAAATTATGATGGTAGTTGAAAATGGCCCTCTGTTTAACTTTGTCTTTGTGAGCCAAATTATGATGGTAGTTGAAAACGGCCCTCTGTTTAACTTTGTCTTTGTGAGCCAAATTATGATGGTAGTTGAAAACGGCCCTCTGTTTAACTTTGTCTTTGTGAGCCAAATTATGATGGTAGTTGAAAATGGACCTATGTTTGGCCCTCCGTTTAACTTCCTCTTTCTTAGACAAGTTGCAATGGTAGTTAAACAAAGCCAGCTTTTTCACTTTCTCATTATGTGAAAGAAGACATTTGTATTTAAATTTGGTCACGCTGATCTTTTTCATTCTGTAAGCAGCATTTTGCTTGTATGCATTTTTTTTCTGACTTTTTATTTTGTCTTTAACCGCACTTATCGTTTTATAATTAGAGGCTTCTGCAGAAGCCTTATTTTGCTTTAAATATCTAGAAAAACTCTTCCTCATTTTCATCTTTTCCATGTTTGGGTCAGCATTTAACTGCATCATAGTTGACCTTCTGCATTTGTTTACGTTGCCTGACAAAGAATCAACTTTACAAAACCCAAAGCATGTTTCTTTATTACCCAGTCTTATGCAAATAATGGGTTCAAAATGATTATTACAGTTTGACAAATATAGTCCCTCAGTGACGAAATTACCAGTTTGAGAACTATATTTGACCCACTCTGTGCCATTGTTGATAAATATGGGTAATCCTAAAACACTGGCTGTAGTTCTAAATTCTACTTCTGTAGCACAGTGACCGACATAATTCATCTGTGACTTTTTTATGTATTCTGACACAGAAGCATGTTCTTTTCCCAGAAAGTTCTCACACTCTTCAGCATTTTTGGACATATAAGAAACAACAGCGAGTCTGATCTTACGATGGCCCTTCTGTGACCCACTAATTACATGAGCTACAGCTCTAAAAAAACTGTTACCATCTTCAATAATATGTTCTGTCTTACACACATTTCCTAAAGGCCCACCTGATGTGGACTCTTGAGAATTGTGTTTCTCAAAATCTATTTTCAACCGATTACACAGAGTTTTACAAAAATCTGCAGACATAGGAGTAAATAAAGTATTTGAATGAACAACACTAACACCATCTGTATCTATGGAACTCGGCTCAAGCGTCACAGTTTCTACTGAACATTTTAAATGTTCTGTAGGGGCATGTCGAGTATTGTATCTACCAGAAATACTATTTACAGGGCCACAATAACCATAACAAGTTCCTGTGTTAGGTTGTTTTACACAAACCACCGTCTCATAATGGTTACCATTACTATTCTCCAAATAAACAGCCTGCTGTGAAAAGTTGCTGTTGGAAGTGTATTTAAGCCATTTATCATTACAGTAAGTAAATATGTTAATGCCAAAATAATCAGCAGCAGCTTGAATTTCCACTTCAGTTGCCCAACTGCCAACGTACTGCATCCTTGATGAGGTGAGGTACTGCGAAACTGAGGAATACTCACTTCTTAAAATGGTTTGATACGTTTGAGGATTCTTTTTTAACTGATTGACCAAAGCAAGACGGATTTTTCTATGATATTCCTGGGTGCTATAAACAGCTTGACTAAGTGCTCTAAAAAAACAGTTTCCATCTGCCACTATTGATTTATTCATGCATGGTACACCCAATTCACCAATCACACGAGATGATTCATCAACCATTGCCGACTTCACATTCAGACGTTTACTCAACACCTGAGACACGTCTCTAGAAATGGGATTGAAATGAAAATCTTTAGTGGTAACATCACTAACAAAAACAACAGGGTTTATGTCGGTGTCATCTGTCTGTAACTTTTTTGGTTCCGAGAGTGGAAATGACTCTTCACGCCTAACCTCCTTTCCTGTTGTTGGAGGCAACCTTGTTTGTTCAGAAACATTTTTAAATGTGTCCATCTGAACAATGTTAACTCCACTGATCTCAAACAACTTCTGAGTTCCATTTAATTTACTGGCAAACCTCAGAATATATCTAAAGACATTGTCAAGACTACTAAAGTATAGAATTACACTTTTACCATTTAGGTCAACCATTCCATCTGCAGAACGAGCATGTGAATCAACAATAGCATAATGTTCATCTTTACTAAGTAAAGCGCAAGTATTGTCTCCAAGTGTAATAAAACATGTTTCATATTGTGTACACATCTTATTCAAACCATCCCAAAGACTAGTGTACACTCCAGCATTTATAAGTTCGCCTTCAGCTATGTCTACATCTCCACAAACAAAATCCCCATAATTCAACTTAAAAGTCTGTTTGCCCATAACGATTTCCTTTGGCAATTCTGGAACAGAAAGAAACACATTCCCAGCACTTATTAGATTACTGTCACGCAAATATGTGTACAACTCATCGCCCAAAACAACAACATTGTCCAACATGGCAAAATCCCATGAAAAAACACTTTGTATGTTGTGCTTAGTTAAAGCAACAAGACTAATTGCTGCACACTGAACGCCGCCATATTTAAAACGCCCATCGCTCTGATTAAATGATCCTGTAAGTGAGCTTAAAATTGTATAATTGTTTACAATACTGTTGTCATCATCAACGTTAACCACACTTGTGCTACATGAAGGAACAGGAGATGATTCAACCATCGCAGACTTCACATTCAGACATTTACTCAACGCCTGTGACACGTCTCTAGAAACGGGACTGAAATGAAAATCTTTAGTACTAGCATCACTAACAAAAATAACAGGGTTTATGTCAATGTCATCTGTTTGTTCAGATACATTTTTAAATGTGTCCATCTGAACAATATCCACTCCAGTGATCTCAAATAACCTCTGAGATCCCACCAGTTCACTAGCAAATCTCTGAAAATGTTGAAAAACATTATCAAGGTTCGCAAAGTACAGAACTACACTCTGTCCTGTCGGGTCTACCATACCATCTGCGGAGCGTGCATGGGAATCTACTACAGCATAACGTCCATTATCACAAATGATAGCACAAGTATTGCCACTTAATGTCATAATGCAAGTTTCATGCTGTGTGCACATCTTTTTCAATCCATCCAGGAGAGGAGTGTACACACCAGCATCTATTAACTCGCCTTCAGCTACATCTACATCTCCTAAAACGAAATCCCCGTAAACAAGCTTAAAACGCTGTTCTTCCATGTCAATTTCCTTTGGCAAGTCTGGAACAGAGAGAAACTCGTGTCCACCTCTAATCTTTTTGTTGTCACGCAAATCTGTGTACAGCTCATCTCCTAACTCAACAACGTTATCCAACACGGCAAAATCCCAAGTGAAAACACTCTTCTGTTTGTGCTTTGTTAAAGCAACAACAGTAATAGCTGCACACTGAACTCCCCCATATTTAAAACGCCCATCTCCCTGATGAAATGATCCTAGGACAGAGTCTAAAATTGTATCATCGTTGTGTAAAATTGTTTTATCTTCATCAAAATTATTTACAACAGGATTTTGAACAGTTGTCTCTGGAACTACAGACGACAGCAAAACCTGTGAACGCACGCAAGAAGGGGTGTTAGCAGACTGACCTCTGGGTGATGCATGCGCGTGATGGCCAGAAGGAAGCATCACAGCATGGGCAGCAACAGACCCAGAGACAGACCCAGGACAACCAGATGCCTCCTGATGGTGGGGTGAAGGCAGCTGGTCACAGTCCAACACCTATACAGAAGAAATTAAAGGTCAATACATCGTCAATAAAGATTAGTTTAGTTTTTATGTTTGAAACACACGCTTCTTACCTCCTTCGTAGACCGAACAGACTCCACGTCTGCAAGAGGATTTATGCAAGGTGTGGATGCAACCTATAATTAAAGAACAACAACAGTTAAGAAAAATAACACCACAATGTATTTGTATGCCAGATAATTTAATGAATCAACCTCCTGCTGGACACGCCTAGCTGCTTTCTTAAAATGTCGCACAGATGTAGTCTACAAACAGAAAATAATACGGTTAAGTACAATACTTTCAAATATACCATACAGACAGCCCATATTACAAGCATCAGGAACAACATTACACTTTACATTAAAAGATAATAATAAACTTTTGCTTTAAAGCTACCTGTGTATCTGTGGGACCATCCGCTGGAGCAATCGTGTCCATGGCAGCCAGAATTGAAGGTGAGAACCTAACGGGATTCAGGGGGATGAAACACTCCTTCAAGGCCACTGAAGTGTCATCAGCCTATTGAAGAAAATTCATCACATATTATCATCTAATCAAAATTCTTTGAAAAAGATCAATCAAAAACATTCACAAACCTTAGAAACAACCACTCGTTTCTTGGGGGAATTAGAAGTCTTTTCAAATTCCCCTGAATGGTTCCTCTGCAATGGTAAATAAAAGAAAACACATTTAGAAGCATTACTGGCACAGTTGCCTAAAATTATAAACATTTTACAATATTTATACTTTATAAAGTCTCTCACCTTCCCGCTAGGTCTCACAAACGTCCATTCGGAAGGGCGTGGAGGTGGAATGCGTTCCACACCCTTCACAACCACACGGGGCACAATACTCGCTTTCTGCGGACGAGACACCTGGTGCTGCACCAGTGGCTTTGGTGCGTGTGTCTCCAAGAACTGATAGGAGGCATTCCACATCAGTTGCGTGAGTATAGGCATCCCGTGATTATCACTGAGGTGGATCTGCAACCACAAACACGAACAAAAGAAAACACAAATTTATCATCTCAAATTTAAGAACCTTTACCTTGTTTTCTTCCAAGCAATATACTTACACCATCACGGCACCACAGTTTAAGACGGTACCTGGGTAGGTGATCGTGGATCGGCACATAACTTACACCTTCGAAGCAGAAGGAAAAAATTCATGTAAAGTTATAAATTGTGATTGTTTGATACCTAAGAGTAAATAACAATAACGCTTGTCGTTAATACAACCTTTTCATCTAATTATGTTGCAACTTACCTAGCTTAGCCGATCTGCGGTGGTACTCCTGCTGAAACAGGTCTTGACGCTCCCACGATCCAACTAAACGGGGAATCATGGCGGTACAGAAAACCTACAAAAAAAAAAAAAAGAAGAAAGAATACAATTATTTTTAAGGATGTACGTTTACTGTCATCTCTCATACCTTCAAAATTACACAAATCAGCCTCTCACCTTAGGCCAGCGACTGAGAACAGCCAAAAGGTACCGCTCAAATGCATCCCCTGCCTCTTCAACTGTTCTGCTGGCCGTAAGGTTGTTAGAAGGAGCCATGACGCAAACAGCATCAGGCTCCCGAGGTAACACAGCCTGTGAAACCTCAAGGCGCAGAAGATCTGCACAAGCTCCTGGAGTGGACATCACACCAAAAGCGAGGCCGCCAACCGGCATAGGGACTATGCCGTCTGCCACGGACCTCAAGTGGGAGTCCCCAACAAGTAGGACGAACTAAATTAGAAAAATTAATAAATACATTTCAATATAAAAAAATCTGTATTTCTATGACATTTCATACAAACGGCAATGCAATATGCTTTTCAGGAAGAAAGAGATCACATTAAACAGTCAAAGTTTACAAACAATAAAACATGAAATGGTAAAACTAATCACAGAATACACCAACATAAATACAAATAAAGATATGTAAAAATAACTGAGCAGCTTAAGTTCTAAATCACAGATTGAGAAGCACCGACTAAAAAGGAAGGTGAACACAACTAGGTTTTCTATTAAGATTCAAAAGTTGGTAGACTTTAGGCACATGTCAAAAAGAAGCCGATTCAGTCTGTTTGCAGCACTGTAACTGATAGCGGCTTCAACACCATCTGACCGTTTCCTTAGAATCCCAGAGTACTGCTAGATAGTATTGGAAGAAAATCTATATTTATATTTTAAATATTTGTGGACATTACACTCACTTTCTTCTCAGGAATCTCATCTGGAAGGACCAACTTGTGAGCTTTGTTAGAAATCACACTGGTCGGCCAACGACGAACTCGATGACGAAAGCCAGTTCCAGAAACTTACAAAACAAAAACACACACACAAAAATTAACAATCTTTTTGGCTAATAATTTTTCATCTTACATAAATACAGTATAGATTAAATGAATTGCAAAACACTACAATAATTTGTTCTGCGAAATAATACTGCAATACATACAATTAGCATCATCATTGCTGTGCGTTGGAATCCCGATTCGAATAGGCGGAGCTGGACGATTGCTGCGCTTAGCAGCATCCGCCTTGCGTTTGGACTCTTTGCCAGGCATAGTGAATGCTGTTTGAAACATAAAATACATGACAGCACTATTAGAAAAGCAACACAAACACTATGGATTTCTATGTTATCATGTGTCTGTACTCAGTAAAGACAGAATTAGTCTCTCTCTCTCCCTCTCTCTCTCTCTCACTCACTCACACCTTTTAGAATCTTATGCAACCATCAATTTGCTAAACTTATATAAATGTAAAAACAATCCTAAATTTTAAAGAGCAAGTCACCCATGACCAGATTCTTACTCAACTCCCACTTCCTGTTTGAAAAATGCAACAAATGCTGTTGTCTAGCAGACCGAGAGGGTGGAGCCACAAACAAATACACACACTCACAACATTGTGACATCATAATGTACCATCTAACATCACTGTGTACCTCTTAGTCAATAGCTATGACAGATTTAAATTCAAATGCAGTGCAGAGTTTTTATCTGACAACGGCACAACACTGACAGTTTTAGGCAGAAAATTAAAATCTTAACTAAAATGCACTAAAGTGCAGAACTATTGACTGCGCATTTCTGTAGCACTATTAGACACACATTTATATAGTTTATCAGAAAAAAAAGTTGATTTGGGGGTGACTTGCTCTTTAAATGAGTTAATCACAGTATAATCTAATTTAAAGGATAAAAATTAATAACTTGTGTGACATCTATGACAAAATACATTAACATAATTATTACTACTTTACTGATAACCCCTGAACAAGGAATCATAATATAAAAATGAAAATTTCTAATCAAACCCCAAGAATGTAGTTTTAAATCATGCTAAATTTCAAACTATTGTTTAAAAATATCAAAAGTTATTAAATGTCAAGTTTTATTAGAACTTACTTGCACTTATGAAAGTGCACATACACCTGCTGTATTCTATATAGAATGCTTAGACTAATTCAAATAGTCAGCAATACATATACTAAAAAACATTTATTTATAACTGCATTGTATGAAATATTCAGTCACAACATATTCTTTAATTTAGTCTTTAACAATGCAACTTTAATAGTTTAAACACCCCATTGTTATCAGTCAAACTTTTGAATAGTCTTATGGTATTTACATTATTTTACTTAATCTCAGTTTAGCTTTAAGTACTGTAACTTTTAATAACGTTTTACTTATTTCTATGTTAAACTTCGCATGACTAAAAATAAACTCACAATATTACATTATTTTTATCATTATTTTTTCCCCGTGTCCTGTCTGGCTGTGAAGCAAACAGAATTGATGTCTGAATGTTGGTGAAAAGCCTTACAGATTTACTCTCAAGTGGAGCATCAAAGCTAATGTCACGTCTGATACTTTAAACTTTATTGTTTTTGAATACTTTGTAATTCCAACCAGACACGGAATCAGAGGCGAAAGATAAAGACAAAGACAAAAGGTGGGGGCAGAAAAGGGGGGGGGGGGGGGTCCACAAAAAATAAACAATAATGAACAAGAGTCTGCTTCTAGGCCTGCAGAAAGAGAAAGAAGAGAAAAAAATGGGACACACAACACAACAGGAGCAAGCTATCACTGTGTCAACTTGAAGAAATACAATCACATAATAATAATAAATCATAGTGCATTTAGTGGCAACGACAGCCTTAAGACATGTGTTGAACGTGCCCAAGTCCATACTTATATGAGCACCTGTGTGTGTGTACACACGCTTGTTTATGTAAGGTTTCTCTATAGGAGCGTCCAATAGAGAGTGTGAGGGGCCACAGACCTGCCCCCAAAGATGTGTAGGAGACTAAGAGAGCTCCAAGTCCCAGAGATCCAGCCGCTGCCCCAGAACACAAAAACCCCAAGGAGACTGCAACCAGAAAGGCCCCCGCCCCCTTGAGAGGTGCAGAGGATCGCCCCGGGGGGACCACAACCAGCAGCTGGCAGAGACCCGGGAGATATCAGCGGCAAGCCCACCTGCAGCCTCCCACCCCCCGCCTGGGACCCAGCAGAGCCCAGGGACCCAGACCCCACCAGGCAGCCACCGGGATTGATCAGACAGATGCCAAAAATCTTAAACCCCCTGACCCGGGAGCCACGAACATTCAGGCAGACCAAGGTACCGCACTCCACACCAGGTGTGGCAGGGAGAGGGGAGACGAAGATCTATATCATCAAAACAAGTCCCAGGAGAGGGGAGGAGTCAAAGGCCCCACCTGACATATACAGTCATACACAAACACAGTAATACACTCCCTCTCATGCTCACACATACACATACAACCAAAGACTTCTAAAAATGCACGCCAGACACCCACTTATGCTCCCTATACACACCCTAGTCCCGGTACTGCTGCACATTGGGTACAACCATTACTAGAGTTTGACCCTTTCTGCTGGGGTGCTGATGAACAGACTCCCCGCCCAACGCTGAGCACAGCAACCCACCACCCCAGACCCCAACCAGACAGCCAGATCTCCCTCTTAGCCTCCAGCCCCAGGAAGCCAAGCAACAACAGAGGTGTGCTAAGACCCCTAGTCTCCCTCCGCCTGCTCCAATATAGTTAGTGTTCGTTGATGAGGTGTATTCCATGGCTGTGGTGAGCGGGCAGTGCGGGCATTGTCTGCCCATGCCAGTTGATGCCACCACACCACCCCACTTGCACCCACAGCCCTCGGTGTCTAAGTGCACTTTAAAACTGGAAGTGGCCACCGGCACCCTGGAGGAGGCTGAGAAATCCCCCTGCCAAATGCCGTTGAATGTGCTCACTCCCAAGGCCCTAAGTGTGTGTTTGTGTGGAATGTCGTCAGTGGAAGTGTATAAGGTGCAAATAAAATTGGGGGGCAGGTTGCCACAGGAATGCGGAAATGGGTCCATACCCGCACTCCCTGATATGCCCACCCCCCCAAGGTCCTATGTGTATGTTTGTGTGATGATGTGAGGGAGCAGGAGGAGAGAAATATGCGGGGATGGGGAGGAATGGCTGGTTGGGCTTAGCTCTCCAGGGAGCCAAAAATAAACTTTTGACAATATTACATTCAAATGTGAAAAACTACAAGTTTCTGTTAGAAACATAAAACAGAAGTGACTCAAATATGCACGTTACTTCCACATTTTATCAGCAAAAAAAAGTTGATTTGGAGGTGACTTGCTCTTTAAGGGCAATTCTCATCTGTTTTGTTTGATCTCATCTGTAGACATTTATTATAATTGTGGATGTCAAACAACTAATTTTTAAATGTAATTAAACATAGGCTGTGAATTAATCAAAATTAATCACTATTTCCACAAATGACTGAAAAAATACCAAATAAACCAAAAGTAAATGAATGCCATCCTCCTTGTGATGATGCCCTGGGCAACTGCCATAAGTCACATCAAAAAATGCTGCTGATCATTCCAACGATCCCAAATAGACTCACATTAGACCACATGAAAGCAACTGAACCCAAAAATATATTAACCAGTAGGGCTGCTCAATTAATCGAATTTTAATCACGATTACGATCTGAGTTTTGAACGATTCTAAAAAAAACAAAACAAGCCGATTATTTGCTCCTCCCGCTTGCGCTGCCCTGAGTTGCAAATGAAGCGTTCCTCCACAGTGTTGCCAACTTAGCGACTTTGACGCTATTTCTAGCAGCTTTTCAGACCCCCTTCTTGACTTTTCAAACTTAAAAGTACCTAGCAAACACCTCAGAAACATCTCTGGGAACCCTTAGCTATTTGCTGGATAACTGTCGTCGACATTTCCTGTAGGTTAGCTAAACAGCTCTCGGAGCTGGCTCCCTGTTGGATTAACCAGAGTGAGTGACACACACACCGCACCTGCGGACTCCTGAGCCACTAAAAATGACTAAATGTGCGTGTGCGGCGCGCTAAACACACGTGCAGCTTGCCCCGATTGCTGTGAGACCGGGTTGGGGGGTGTAGCTGTGGTTGGGACAATTATTACATTAACTGATGGACCTGTAAATAAATAGTTTATAAATAAGGTAGAAATAAGTTCCTCACGCTGATAACTAATAGCTAATCTCTCTGAGGACACGGTGCTTGTGCACTCTCCTACAGCACCTTGACACGACTCAATGTTATGCAACATTTTGTGAACATCAATTTCTTTGCATTTATTTGTTATAAATGTCACTGTATAATTCTTGCTGTCAGTATTTGCAAGGTATTGGTATTTGGGTCTGTACTGGTTAGACTTAAATGAGTTAAACCAAGGTCTATAGCCCTTGGGTCATAAACTATGAGCTATAAGTATATTGGTCTTTTTATACTGGGAATCAGGAGTTATTTTAGTGATCATCTAGTTTATTATTTTTGTCCTGATTGTGCCCTGAGCAATTTTATGACTGAATAAAAACAAATAAAATCAACATAAATTGAAAAATCGTCCTAAATAATCGTGATCTCAATTTCAGTCACCATAATCGTGATTATTATTTTTGCCATAATCGAGCAGCCCTATTAACCAGTAAATAACTGCACTCTCACACAACACGCCTGTGTCACTCACGCAACCTCCCTCTCAGCTGTCAACCTCCTCTAGGGAGGCACCGCAGAGCCGCTCAGACTCCATTACCCAACATCCCCAGCGCCAGGCTTCCGGTTCACGTCACCCGCCAAATCTATTTAAGGAAGTGCCGCACAACACCGACTCACGTCGGCATCAACCATCAACCAACCAGGTGCGAGGTCCGCACGGCTCCGCGTGGAAAAGTTGCGTCATTTTAACAACCACGCCCCTCCACCGCGCCTCCTCACGGCCCAGAATTTCCGCAATGCGCACCTCGGAAAATTTCCAACCACGCGGAAAAACATGGCGGACCAGCAAGAACTACTATGGCAGAGGTTCGTAAATAGACATTTGTATGATTCAGCTCTCAGAGGTCACCGTGATCAACATGTTGTTAATAGTTCTTGGAGAGAAATAGCTCGCACTGTCGGAAAAGACGAGAACGCTGTTAAAAATGCTGAAATGCCATGTTGTAAACAGTAAGTTCTACTTCTACTATGGTGTAGTGTTGAATGCATGCTGTAGAGCTCCATGCTGCCCCCTACAGTTTGGGAGAATATTGGCTCACCGCAGAGACAAGCCGCACAAACTATAATCACTGCGAGTTGTGAAGCGCGTTCCATCCGCGAGCCGCATCACCGCGCGGAAAGTGAATGCGTCAAGCATAAAACCAAAGTCATCGTTCGAACCGAACCTAACCCAGAGTCCAAACCAGATTGTCTCAGATCACGAAGCCTGTTCAGATCAGACCAGCCAGATCTAAGAATCCTGCCTGTTCTTAGAGACCAGCCTCAGACCAGGACTCGCCGTGTTCAGCTGCGCACTCGGCTCCCAGAACAGCGTGTCCATTCAACCCGGCGTCAGTCACTCCGCGCTTGGGTTAAAAGCCACGCCACATCCAAACTCTCGCCCAGCTCGAGTCACCCCGTTACAGCCTGCAGCAACAGTTAGGACTCCTCCCTCCCTTTTAAAAGCGTTTTCGCTTCCTAGGACATTGTGGTTGTAAAACCCCAATGTCTGAGACTCGAGTCTGGTCCCGGTGTGATCAACCAGTTTCTGCGGGAATGTAACGACGGAACCGGTTCGCAGCAGCGCGAGTCCACCCCCCCTTCGTGTCTTACCGTTAAATGTTACATCACGTGCCACATGGACACGCACTCATGCTGCAGATTCAACAAAACTACTTTACTTTTTCCAAATTATATCACAAGAATAATGAAGCTGCTTGCGTAAAAATCGACACAGCAAATATGTAAGTATTACTTACCATAATAAGAAGTGAACACGCCAGCTGAATACAGCTAATATTGCTTAAAAACAAACATACAAACAAACAAACAAACGACAGATAACAATAAGCACAAATGAAATATTCTCCAAAATGCTGCTTTACAACGCTAAAAAGAAGGCAAAACCCCAAGCAAGCCTACGTAGTGCGCACTGAAACGAGTCTTGTTCAAAGACGTGAATGGCAGTTGGATTGTAAAATATATACCCGAACTTGAGCCAATCAGCGGGATAGAATACATCACGTGGAAAAATATCTCCCAATAAGGTTGAAGTCTTTAGAAAACACAATGCGCTAATCCTCCAATCAGTAAGGCAAAATCGGAAAATTCAAAATAAACCAATAAGTTTCTTTAACGACACAGCAACGTCACATTCGTCTCTGATTCCCGTGTTTTACAGAGGCCGCCCCCTCACTTCCAGACAGTCCAGGAGAAGAAGCCGGTGTTGTGCCATAAATCGGCTGCCAAAAAATGATTAGCCTCTAAAGAAAGGAAGAGGGAAAAAATCAAATCGCTGGAGAATTGTTTATTTACATTTATACAACGTTTACATTCAATACAGGGCGCCATTTTACATTGTTTATTTATTTTTTAGTATCAAGGCTGTAACATAAAGAAAGCCAGTTCTTACCACAAACCATCTTTCAATCGCAAATATTGCAAAAAGGATTAATATATCCTCATTGTGAACGTTTAAGACAAATAGCAACACTTAAAACAACTTCCGAACTGGAAAAAACTAAGCTAATCATTTTTTGGCAGTGAGTCGATTTATGGCACAACACCGGCATAAGGTTAGTCAATCGATGTTAAAGCTAAAGCTAGCAAAAACTAGCTACTTGCTAGCTGACTAATGTTTGTTGAAATTATCACGATTTGCAGTAAACGATGTCCGGAGAATTGTTCGAGGATGCATAGCTGTTAGCTCAGACTAGCGGTTAGCTCAGACTAGCGGTTAGCTTAGACTAGCTTTTGGCTCAGACTAGCTGTTAGCTCAGACTAGCACTTAGCCCAGACTAGCGTTTGGCTCAGACTAGGACTAGCTTTTGGCTCAGACTAGCGGTTTGCTCAGACTAGCGTTTGGCTCAGACTAAGACTAGCTTTTGTTTCAAACTAGCGGTTAGCTCAGACTAGCTTTTAGCTCTAACTTGGCAAAAGATGGCTACCACAGATAAGTTTCATCAGCAAACACAAAAAATGGCACCAACTCTGTTGGTTTTACATATTCATCTGAAATCTGTTCATTTTTTAGGTCAGTCATTCATATCGAATTACACCAGATCTTATGATTTTGCATGATCCATTATTTTGTAAATCTGATTTCAAGTTCCATGAAAAACAGTGATGTGATGTGATGAAGGGGCTTGACTGTGACCAATAACGAGACAGTTGTAGCTGAGCAATACGGGCCGTGCGATCAAGCCAAAGCTGTGGTCAAATCTAAAGGCAATAAGGAAAAGCATGAAAGTCAGCTGACTAGGTGAAAGATGTTGCGAGGAATCAAAGCAACATGCTTCTAGAGACTTGTACAGGTATCAGGTGGTGTTCTGACTGTTTCTGGTTTATTTTCTGTTTTTAGAGCATTCCCAGGTCAGGAATCAGACTCGTGATGGGACACGGACCATACGCCAAACTGGTCGTACTCTTCCTCTTTACCTCACTGGGTTTCATGGTGAGTGTGGAATAAATCCTCACGGAACAAAAATGATTTTTGTGCGTGCGTGTGCAGTTTGACTGAGCAAGCCTATTTTTTACCCTGCAACTCCTGGAAGGAAACTTTGCTCTGTTCTGCAGCTCCACACTGGGATTCAGAAATGACTTCCAGAATATTCTACTGGTCATCATGGTGAGCGCACACACACGGCATTCTCACAGCTAGAGCAGGTCCCGTTCTCCTAGCACGGGCAGATGAAACTCTGGCCTGTGCGTTAATCAGTGTTGGGAACGTTACTTTAAAAAAGTAATTAGTTATAGTTACTGATTACTTTGTCAAAAAAGTAACTCAGTTACAAGATCATAAAAGTAACTGATTACCAACAAAAATAACTACTTAGTTACTTTTTTCATTAAAGAATGCAAGAATTACTACAATAGTGAAATATAAATGACTAATGACTGGAACATAATAATATGTATGTCCAAATGTTTTTTATAAACCTGAATAATTTCAATAAATAAGCACTTCACAGGAGGAACTACTAATAGGAACATTACACTAATCTAGACTATTAAAAGGTCACTGTGTGATATTTAACAAGATCCCAATCAGCTAAAATTGCAAATAGAAACACCTGTAAAGGTTCCCGAGCCTTTAAATGGTATCTCGGTCTAGTTAAATTACAGAAATAAATGTAATTTTGCACAGTATTCTAATTTTTCAAGCTTCACATAATTGTGTGTTTTTAGCAGCATTTCTGTTGCTGGTAATCTAGTAACGGTTAAATAAATAAATAAAATCCTTTAAAATGACACTAGAAGAGGCACAAGCCTGATGGAGGACTTAAATGTACTAACGTGGGTCAGACCCAACCACAGAAGAGCTGAAGCTGGGTGGTAAACACACACAGGTTCTAATAACACCTGAGCTCCATGTCGTCTGAGACTGATGCATCAGTGTTACAGCGGGGCTAAAGACATGATCAGAAACAGGTTACAGCTGGATGATCTAGGAAGGTAGAAGATCAGGACGTCTGAGTGGTGAACAGGTAAGCGGACCTTCGGGACGTCCCGCTGTCACGCCAAGAAGGGCACGGCTGCAGACCCGCAGATTCACTGCTGCAGATTCCCACCTACAGCAGCAAATCTGCGGCGGGTCTGCAGCCGTAGATATTCATCACGTCTTCCTCGTTCTTCATGGGCCGTGATGCTCTTGGATGAAAACATCTACCTCTAGCAGCTCCTGATCAGCTGATGACAGCTTCTACAGACCGCGCTGCTTAACGCACGCATTTCCTTATCAGTAACAGAAACGATGTCTTGACGTGGGCCGCTGCTGTAAAAAGTGAGGCGCGAACCAGAAAAGCTCCTGCCGATCACAATTCAACAACGGATTATGAAAGAACGGATAACGCTCGAAACACGCAGATTCTTCCTGATGTGAGAGGTGAGTCTCCACTTTGTTTTGGCGTCGACATCATCCTAGCGTGCCGACACCTCTCTCTCCCTGGCTGCAGCTTTTTGAGGTTCTCTCCAAGTTCAGTGAATCCAATTATGTGATCAGAACTCCTCTAATGAGAAAGAAAACCATGACTTGCCATGTGAATCGTTTGAAGCTATTTCATGAACGTGCTACCGCTGTGACTCAGCCTTGTTTAGTCTCTGCAGAGGTTTCTCCCCCACTGCCTGATACTGTGCAAGATGATGCTGTGGCGTGGAGTTTGCTGCCCCCTGTCACCCCACGTCTCTGCAACTCCGAAGCTCTCTCCAACCTGTCGTCCAGTTTGGGTCACCTCACCTCTTCGCAACAGGAGGAGCTTTCTCATCTAATTCACTCTTTTCCGGAACTATTTTCAGACGTGTCCAGTCAGACCCACCTAATAACTCATGACATCAGCCTTACTGATTCCGTCCCCGTTCGTATGCACCCTTACCGGGCTAGTCCGATGAAGAGGGAACTAATGAGAAAGGAAGTAACTTATCTATTAGAACATGGCCTAGCAAAGCCCAGCACCAGTTCCTTGAGCTCACCATGTTTACTGGAAAATAAACCTGATGGCTCATATAGGTTTGTTACTGACTACCGCAAGTTAAATACAAAAACCGTCCCAGATTCGTTTCCTTTGCCTCGTGTAGAGGATTGTGTGGATAGTGTGGGTTCAGCTACATTTGTTACTAAACTAGATCTTCTAAAGGCCTATTGGCAGGTGCCGCTAACTCCGTTTGCATCTAAAGTGTCTGCTTTCGTCACTCCAGATAACCTGCTCCAGTACACCGTGTTGCCGTTCGGTTTGAGGAACGCCCCCGCTACTTTTCAGCGTTTTCAGCAAGAACTACTTCTTCTTCCGCCAACCATGGTGTGTGATACGGCACAATATAAATACCTTAACCCTCCACTGGGGGGCGCACACTGGGCTCCCTGTTTATTCAATTCAATAATTTATTTCACTCAAAGTTTAAATATACAAACTTCAAATTAGAATATAAGCATTCGAGTGAAATAGGGGGAGGAAGAAGAAAAAATCTTATATGACCTACCCCCTTTAACTAAGACAAGATAAATAAAAAGTACAAAATAGCCTTATACACAAAAAATAAACCGCTCTCTTACTTCCACAAATAATATCACTACTAAAACATTAATCCTCCATCCTAAACCCACCAAATCATACGATTTTAGCCTTTTATCTTTATACATTTTTTTTAATTGACCAGTACTTGTACATTTTTTTAATTCATCATCCAGGTTATTCTATAATTTCACACCATATGTTAACATACACATTTGCTTTAATGTAGTACGAACAAATATCATTTTAAACTCTGGTTTCTTTCTACTCTTATCATTTTTTGGGGTCAAAACAAAGAACCTTTGTAGATTAGTTGGCAGTAAATTATTTCTAGCCTTAAACATAATTAGTAAAATTTTCAAGTTAACTAAGTCTTTAATTGATGCTTTTCCTGTTTGCTCAGCAGGAAGAATCACGCCCCTCCCAGAGACACCCTCTGTCGTGGCTGGATGATGATGCAGAGATGGTGGCTGCTTGTAAATCTGTGGAAGGTATGGGGCAGAACAAATCTAATTTGCACCTTCCAAGCTTAAACAACGCACACTACAAATTTTTTGTGGTCTTTTTAGACTCCCTCATCTCAAAGCAACCAACAATAGGAGCTGCAGCGACCAGGACGTCGCCAAAGGCTCCTGCTCTACAGCGGCTGTTGGTTTTCCTGCTCCTGCTGATCCCTCTGCTTCTGAATCCCCTGCTGGTCCGATAGCTGCTTCTTCTGGCTCCACTACTCCTCCTGGTCCCTCTGCTGGCTTTTCTGCTGCTGTCCTGGACAAGGTTTTAAGGAACAGGACGGACCTTGCGATGCCAGTCTCTCGGCCTGCTGCTACTCAGCCACAGCTTCAGCCCCAGGTGAAGCCTCAATTTCAACCTCAGTCTCTGCTACAGCCTAGAAAACAGACTCCTGTGAGTTGTGAAACAGTTGTAGCCTCTTCCACCTCTACGCTATCTGAAACCCCTTGGCACACAGTCAGGCCCATTGTGCCTAAGCGGTCTCTGTTCAGTCCAGCTCCAGCCCTGCGTCGCTCCAGCCTTCTGCCAGTCTGGTGTTTCCTGAGGCCACTGCTACCTCGTCTCCATCCCCATCATGGTCCAGGGACACGCTTTACAAGTGCAAACAGGAGCTTTCCTTCTTTGGGGAGGGAAATAAATCCAGGGTGCAAAACAACCCTGTGTGCACGACAGGTGACTCAGGGACACAAAAAATACAAAAGGAAGAGCTTCTGTACTGTAAAAATGATGTCCACATCAAAGGGTCTCACAGGCATTTTATTTAAAAGTTTTGAGGAGTTTATGTTGGTTCAATGTCCGTTTTACCGCGGGTGTCAATACCGACACTCTGGCACAGCGCGTTACCTCCCGATGAGCAGGGGCTTGTCACCTGCTGTCTTTAGGAAGCGACTACTCGATGACAAACATGAAAAGTCACTACAGAGCAGTGAAATCGACTAGTTCATACAACCCCAAGTTTGTAGTGTTCGTATGTCCAATATTTTCATCAATCAGCAACTGAAGCGCTGCTACCTGCTGTTCTTTCAGTGGACTGTCAAATTCTGGAATCACAATCACAACGTCCGCAACTACTCCATATTCAGCTGCTACATCCCAGTCAATGTCCGGCTCTTGAATATCCTGATAATTGGACCAAACAAATTTAAACACCACAATTATTATCATTCCCTTATTGCATCACAGTTATTAGCCAATATTGACTTGTTTAAACCTTATGTGGATTACCAAACTTTTCAAGCTATTTTACCAGCTGATCCATTTAAGCAAATGAACTTTAACATTAATTCCAAATACTTTAATTTGTTTCACATTTGATGCTGTTCACTTAGGACTCATTCCTTTTTATTTTGAATGAATTAAAAAGAAATGCACCTCAACTTACTCTGGCTGCTGGGTCAGGTGACACATCATTCCTGTGTATCATAGCTGCTCAGGAGTTTTGTTTCCTTCTGTTCTAAGAGGATAGTTGTTCCAGCCTTGAAGAAAAGCTTGTAGGTCTGCCTTCAATTTAAGATGAAACATCATGTGAACAGCAAAATGATCTTCTGTAAAAGAGTTAGAAATTGATTGCTGCGCCTTTGTCACACATGTTGCATGTACCTCCACACCTGTGATAAGGGATACTCTGAGTATGCCCTAGTGGTGAGACGTGTAATATAATGGTGGCCTCAGAGGGGATGCTGAGTCAGGGTGAGGTGCGGACGAGGTGACCGTTGGCGGTTTCTGGTGTCGAGGTGGTCAACGTTTCTGTTCCACAGACATGCCCTTGGCTACCGGCCAGGACGGAGCGGTGCGGAGCTGGGTTTGGAGAGAGTCGTGATGAAGCGGAGGGGATGCGGACGGAGGGCGAGCAGCTTCGCTGCGAGGGCCGAACGACGCTGCTTGCAGCTTTAATTAGGCCCGAGCAGCGAAGCGCTGCGAAGGCCTATTGTATCTGCTCCGTTTATTATTATTACGCTTTCTTTTTTCTTCCGCGTCTTTGGGTGGCCTTTAGGGGGTCTTAGCATATCCAAAAAGTCACCAAATTCTGGCCCAATATAGAAAGTGCGTGAAATTTACGTATTTCACTGGCGATGTGAAAGTTGATAAAAAAGTGGCTCGACAGCGCCCCCTAAAGAGTGAAAAATACCCCTCTCCATAAAGCTTAGTTTATCGTACAGTTATGAAATTTGGTATACTGGTACTACTCAACAGTCCGCACAAAAAAGCCTCTTGCAACCATGGTCAATATAAAACAGGAAGTCGGCCATTTTGGGTTGAAATGGCGATTTTTAGCCGTTTTGGCCATTTCTAGGGTCTATATTTGGTTGAACAGTTTCGTCATTTTTCGTACCATAGTCTCAAAAATAGTGTGCCATCGAACAGAAGCGATGGACGCTTCAAATGAGAAAATAAAATTGACTTTTCGTAAATACTGAAGGGGCGGGGCCAGGCCTCAAAGTTCGAGCACTCGCCAAAAAAATTCAAATTGCTATAATTTCACAAATGAAAGAATTACAGTTAAAGTAACTTTCTATGGATAATCGTCATCGCCCCCCGAAGACAAATGAATGGTCGCTGGATGATGTCACACAAGCCCCGCCCCCTCAGGACTTAAAACGTCAAGTTTTACTGGGAAATTTTCCAAAATTCGCCCTGTCGAATAATCAGCCCGAATTTGTAGCAGGTAACTGAAGAGAAGTTGGCGTTGCTTGACGTCACTTTATGGGTGTTTTCTGCAGAAGGCGGGGCTGTGGCGACGCAGCGAAGTCAGGCGTACCGCCGTGACCATACATGTGCCTCCCATGTCGTCATTTCTATAGATACAGTCACGAAACGTCTTGTGAGTGATCCTAGTCCGGCCCCCCAAAAGATCTCATGTGAACATCAAATGGGCGTGGCCTATTTTCTGAAATAGCGCCCCCTAGGTCCATTAAAACTGTCAGCCCCAAGCCATGCTTTGACTGAGGAGTACGAAATTTGGTACACTAATGTGGGGTCTCAGGACCTACAAAAAAGTCTCTTTGAGCCAAGTGCAAAGTCGCACAGGAAGTCGGCCATTTTGGTCCAATTACTCGATTTAGTGGTTTTCACACACGTTATTAGGAGAATGATGTCTCGTCGTCCTTTCCACCTATCACCTTCAAACTCCTGCTATATAATCTTAAGACATAGAGGAAAAAATTCAACCGTCGGATTTTATACAAGTATAAAGGTGTGGGCGTGGCTAAGCCTCAAACTTTGACCTTTCGCCATTACATTACTTGACTTAACAACTCCCATGTGCATGATCAGATCTATATCAAACTCCGTCTGTGTGATCATTGACCACATCTCAAGACAATGACAATGTGGACAGCTGACATCACCTATGCCCCGCCCCCTGACTACAGGAAGTCTATTTTTTAATGGTGAAATGCCCATATTTGTCCCCTCTACTTTAGTCAACATGACACTAAGGTCATGCACTGTCTTCATGATGTTGTAATGACCATTCAGATCTGATAGCTTTTCAGAAAGGGAAGGGCTTTGATGCCACGGCGAATTCTGGCGTGACGCCGTGACCTTACGTTTGACTGTAACTTCCACTAACAACCTCCGATCTGCCCGAGACTGAACATGGCAATCAACAATCATGCCCTTTATTCAACGAGGCACACACCGTTGGTGAAAGTTGTGTAATGTCACCACAGCGCCCCCTACACACCATTAAAACTGTAATAACTCCTACAGACGAGGTCGTAACTGCACCAAACTTGCTATGTGTACTCACACAATGGCACCCACCACAGTCCTGTGGTAAGTTGTTGATATTGCTTTAGCTCCGCCCCCTGACAGATATTAGGCCCTTAATAACACATGCATGATGCAATTCACACCAAACTGCACACAAATGACTGTCATCAACCTACAAACTTCTTCATGGAATAATTCTTAAATTTGGGACAGCGCCCCCTAGATACAAAAAACCTTTGTAACTTCTGCAAAAAAGTTCCAAACTACATCAAACATTGTGGGAGTCATCACACATCTGCAATCAACACATGTATGTGATCACTTGTTCAATTCACTTTAACTCCACCCACTTACAGCTTTTTGTCTCTAGATGACCCATGCAACGTTTGATTGATTCCAAATTAACAGAAAACCATCTTTGATGACCAAAGATGACCTCTATGGCATTTACTTGTAAATGGTCACAACGCCCCCTAGATGGGTTCAAACTTTATTAACTTCTAAAGTCAAAGTCAGAATGGCATTATACTTGGCTTGTGACATCACGTGACTGCACCAAACACATTGATGTGGTTGTTGATTCAAATCCCTGTAGCTCCGCCCCTTTCAGCTCACTGGCTTTAGATAACACACACAACGTCCGTTTGATGCCAAAATAACAGAAAACTGTCCTTGTCAACCAAAGCTGACCTCAATGGGATTTTTCTGTAATTGATCACAGCGCCCCCTAGATAACTTTAACTTTCGAAAACTTTAATAAATATGGGCAAAAAAGCACTAAAGTTGGTCTGTGTCATCACACCAACAGTGTGCTAAAGATAAAGTATGCCCTAGTGGTGAGACATGTAATATAATGGTAGGCTCGGAGGGGATGCTGATTCAGGGTGAGGTGTGGATGAGGTGACTGTTAGCTTTTCTTGGTGTCAGGGTGGTGGACGTTTCAGTCCGTGGACGTGCCCTGGTGCCCCGTGCTGCCGGCCAGGACGGAGCGGCGGGGAGTTGGGTTTGGAGAGCATCGGGGATGGAGCGGAGGGGGTGCGGAAGGAGGGTGAGCATCTTCGCTGCGAGGGCCGAACGACGCTGCTTGCAGCTTTAATTTATTATTATTATTATTATTTTTTTTCTTCCGCGTCTTTGGGTGGCCTTTAGGGGGTCTTAGCATATCCAAAAACTCACCAAATTCTGGCCCAATATAGAATGTGCGTGAAATTTACGTATTTCACTGGCGATGTGAAAGTTCATAAAAAAGTGGCTGAACAGCGCCCTCTAGAAAGTGAAAAAAACCCCTCTCCATAAAGCTTAGTTTATCGTACAGTTATGAAATTTGGTTTACTTGTAGTCCTCAACAGTCCGCACAGAAAAGTCTCTTGCAGCCATGGTCAATATCAAACAGGAAGTCGGCCATTTTGGGTTGAAATGGAGATTTTTAGCCGTTTTGGCCATTTCTAGGGTCTACATTTGGTTGAACAGTTTGGTCATTTTTCGCACGATTGTCTCAAAAATAGTGTACTATCGAACAGAAGCGATGGACGGTTCAAATGAGAAAATAAAATTGACTTTTCGTAAATACTGAAGGGGCGGGGCCAGACCTCAAAGTTCGAGCACTCGCCAAAAAAATTGAAATT